GGCACCTGGATAAAAATACATTGTTTTTGTCACTGAATTTTGTCAACTTTTTCTACCATGAAGAGTTTCTATAATGTATGTTCTTTAACTTAGTAGGTTTTTGAGTTTAAATCTCAGAATCTATATTATACTACAGATTCTAACCTAAAAACTTTACTTTCATATTTATGCTACCTTAAATGCAAGGCCATGGGACATGGATACTTTTCATATTTCCTCTGTTCAGATGGGGCACAGTATGGAATATGGTCCAGACGAGGACCAAAAAAAAAAGTCATCAGAGGGATGAAGATGTTTCCTATGAATGATGAACATCCAGTTCCTCTACAGTCTGGAAAGATTATATATGTATTCTGTGACTCAACTGGAGGAAGGGAGGATCTTCCCCTAATGGGCTCTAGTCATGGGCTTGCTTTCATCCCAAATCACAGAGATAGACCACATGTTTCTGTGGATCTCTGAGGGACACAGTGTGATGTAGCAAAGAGTACAGAGTTTGAAGCTGGACAAACCTAGGCTTCTTTGTGTTCCACTGTAAAGTATAAAGGGTAAGACCCACATCACATAGTCATTGTGAGGATTAAATGAGGTGTTACTTAAAGCACATGGTAGGCACTAAAATCTTATTTCTCTTTCTCCCTGGCATCCAAAATGCAGAAAAATCCCTCAGTCTATGAAAGTCAGACAAACACCATCGAGGATAAGGATCCAGTCACTGCATTGGAACAGAGATTAGGAGAACAAATCATCTTATGTCACAAGATAACCAATGATATATATAAGTTGAACAATTTGGGGCAAGACCAAGTGGCTACAACATAAGATGATCAATCAAGTATCCAAGTTTGTCTGGCACTAAGAGGATTCCTGGGAGTTAAATCAAGCTTCCTCAGAGCTAAAACCAAGAAAGTCCCAGGCAAACCAGGATGATTGGTCACAATGCTTACCTAGCAATAATTAGACAATCAAGAATTTTGGATTGTCCTTTATCTCAGTGGGAACAATTTCCCCTAGATATACAACAAAAGGTTTAGATATGATTTTTTACACCCTTAGGCTATACTTATCTTTCTTCTCCCCTCCAATGTCAAACTGCTCCAAAGGATAGTCTACACTTTTGTGTCTTTCTGCTCAGTACATGTCCTCTCTCAAAGTCACTTATTTGGTATAGCTCCAGAGCCTGGCAGAAGATCTTTAAATAGCATCATTAAAAACAGAACAAACAAAGGAAACAGCATCTTTGTTCCTGCATGCATGGTTTGTTTGTTTGTTTGTTTTCTGTTAAAGGGATATTTTCAAGTAACTTCAAAGACATGGAGAGCAATAGGGCTCCACCACAAATGTTTCCAGTTTCAATAGCACTGCTCCAAACAAAACAACAACAACAAAAACCATACTTTATAATGCTGAAGGATAAGAAATGATTTGGCTTAGAGTTCATCACCATTGTCCCTTCAGCCAACCATATCCCTGCTGCTGGGGCTGAGTTGTCATCACACACACAGAGCACACGGAACTAGCTAGGCCTGCTTTTCCCTTCCCAGGAGCTGGTCTCAACTTTGTGACAGAACCAGGCTGGCAAATACAAAGGTAGACAGTCATGCTGCTGGTAGCTTCTTTCACTTAGCCTTATTCCATTTGCGATCTGCCTCTTCTTTCCCACCTAAAAACCAGTAGGGGACTCTGAATCACCCAGACTGCATCTTTATTTGTGTCTTTTACGAATAGAAAGCAGATGATCACACGCTCCCAACAAGGCCACAGGCCCTGCCAATATTGGAATGTGTGTTTAATGGCTTCCCCCTCCGCTCCAAGCAAACACCACATTTTGCATGGCAAGTGTCCCACCGCACAGCTGAAATGCCACATTTGCTCTGCCAAGAGCTCTTTGGGGATCTGCCATGAGCAGTGACATTGTTATCATTGTTCTTAATCTTGAGGCAGCATTTGAGGCTATAGCTCACCATTTCCTTTACATGGGGCCACATAGTTCCGACTCTTAGCTCTCTGGTCTCTCTTCTCTGGCTTTATTTCTCCCCACTGTCTTGAAAGTGGTTATACTTAGCTCTGTACTTCACGGCTCAGATGCCTATTCTATGCTCTTCTTTCCCCAGTTATGGCTTCCTCTCTCATTTCTAAGCAAACACTTCTCAAATCTACATCTACCCACATCTTCCCATCCTCATGATATGTTATCACCTTAAAAACTTGTATTAAACTTGCTGGGCTTGTCTTTCCCCCCAAAACAATTCCTTCTTCAGACTTCTATTTTTCTCAGAATTACATCCAATGTTCTCTCTTCCTTGTTCGAAATCTTGGCATCAGCTTTGACTCCTCCTCTTTCCCCATCTCCAGACAGAAACCAAAATGCTGTGATTCCCTTGTGATGCCTACTGTCTGCCTCATCTTGCCTAATCCCATACCATCAGTCCTGCTCCTGCAGCTTCATCGCCCTCCATGAAGCAGTTTCTTGCTCCAAGCCCTCCACACTGTCCCTCCACTGCTGGTTAATACCCAGTCACAGTGTTAAATGGCCCCTTATTGAGCAACCAAATAATTCCAGATGCTTTAGCCTCCTATTTACAAATTTCCACAATAAACCCATGATGAACTTTCCCCCCACGGGAGCGATCAATCTAGAATATAGCAGGAGCCTAACTGAATGCTAAGTTGTATGATAAAAAGCTCCAGTAGCTGGACTCTTGCATCCAAAAGATGTCCTCTTGCCCAATCCTATCCTGCTCCACCTCAGTCCAGCCGTCACAGCCCTTCACTCTGCTCAATTCCCCCTCTACCTTTAACACCTTAATTTATCTCCTCCTGGGCCCTGAGTCCACTTGATAGTCTTGCTTACAACTTCTCACCTGCCTCCTGATTCAGGATATTAGGGATAAGGAGCTATCTGCCATGATTCCTCTTTCACACTCAGTAGTCCTAGTGCATAAGAATCAGACGGGTAATGTATTAAGGATGTGAATTCCAGACACAGCCCTCACTTTAGTCTGAGGTGCAGACTATGCTATGCTATGCTGTCCAATAGAACTTTCTATGCAGATAGAAACGTTCTGTTTTGTGTTGTCCAATAGAATAGCTACTAATCACATGTGGTCATTGAATAGTTGAATTGTAGCTAGTGTGACCAAATACCTGAATTATTAATTTTATTCAATTTTGATTAATTTAAATTTAAATAGTCACATGTGGCTGGTGGCTGCCACTGTGAACAGTGCAGACTTATAGATTTAACAGGCATCGTGACTAATTCTACTTAGCAATAGTGTTGAAGAACTACCTAAACAAGCAGTGTGACACTTATGCTCCCTTACTGGCACATTGTAATCAACAAATGTTTGTTGGAGGACTGAATGAACAAATGAGTATATGAATAAATTTGAATATAATTTCCTTGATATTTAAGACTGTCTCTTCTGGAAAAGAAATTTGAGGGGACTTTTCCAAATTAAAAGAGGCTAAAAAGACTTACCAACCAAATGTAATAAATTGACCTTAAAGGGACCCTGGTTCCAAAGTTAAAAATTTTTTTTAAAGTATTGAAGACATTCTTTGGGACAATTGTGTAAATTTGAATACAGACAGCATATTACATGATATTAGAAAATATTTTTTCGTTTTCTTAGGTGAGATAATGTTATTACAGTTACAAAGGAAAATTTCTTCAGTCTTAGGAAATACGTGCTAAAGTACTCAGGGATGAGGTGTCATGATATCAACAACCTATTTTCAAGTGCTTTGGTAAAAAGTGTGTGTGTGTGTGTGTAGAGGAAGAGAGAGAAAGCCAAAGTGGCAAAATGTTACCTTTAAAATCTAGGTAGAGTATATTTGGCTGTTCATTGTATATGTTCTTTCACCTTTCCTGAATATTCGAATTTTTTTAAGTTATAGGAAAATTCACCCACAATGAATTGGCAAATCCTAAAGTAAAATAAAATTTTAAAATACTGTATTTTCTGACTTTTGGGTTCTAACTCCACCCTACCCCACCCACCCCACTCCATCCCAGACTAACATAGTGCTGACATTGTGCTATAAACTCTCTAGACCAGGTGCTGCAAACTGGCAACCTACAGATCCTATGTAGTTTGCATACATGTTTTACCTTGGCCCAAATAGAGGCTGCATTTGTTCTGATTAAATTAGTTGCCAACTTTAAAATTCCAAGGATTTTTATCATAATGTATTATGCAGCAAGATGTTTTGCAATATAATGAAATATAAAGTACTCATTTTAGGGGAACCTGGCTGGCTCAGTCAGTAGAGCACACAACTCTTGATATCAGGGTCATGAGTTCAAGCCCTACACTGGGCATGGAGCCTACCTAAGAAGTTGTAAAAAAATAAAATAAAAATAAGACACTTATTTTATAATAGCAAACATGTATAGATCATGTCCTATGAGACAAGTACTATTTTAAGAGTTTTGGGTATTTAACTCATTTACTCCCCACAACAGCGCTATGAGATAGGTACTATTATTATTCTCCCTTTTACAGATGGGGGAAATGATGAACAAAGAGATTAAGTAACTTTCTCAAAGTTTCACAACTACTGACTTGTAATGCCAGGTTGAATCTTGCACAGTCAGCCTCCTAACAACCATACTTTACCGCCAGTCACAAAAATCTGCATCCCCAGTTTCTCCGGAAAAATCAGATGATCTGGCAACATATTCCCATGTGGGACCAATTGACCAGAGCCAAGGAGCTACATTCTCCTGAAGGCAGGGCATCTTCTCTTCTGCTTGCCAGAGTTCCCATTCAGCCTGCTTCTGGGGCCTTGGGGTCTGACCCCTGCTCTAGCCACAGCACAGCTGAATTCAGCAGGTTGAAGGACAGATGGTAGATACATCACAGACACTTGTACACTGCCCCAGGCCAAGCTGAATATCAGGCTGACCTGTTAGTGAGCATGAAGCTCTACTGGGAGAGAAAGTTAGGAGGGAAACTTGGGCCAGATGTGTGTGTGTGGTAGTTATGGGAGGCATGGATGTGTGGAACGTCAGACCAACTGTTGGTAGACAAAGGAGAAAAGTTACAGGAACCAAAAGGTACATATCCCATGCCTGGCAAGATGCCCCACCAGAGGGCTGTGTGTCAGTGAGAAGACTGTGGGCTAGCATGGCCCGGGACTCCATCACTTAGCAGCTGTATAATCTTGGACAAGTTATTTAACTTCTCCAGCTTCCATTTCCTGGACTATAAAATGTGGGCGATGACATTTACCTCGAGGGTGGTTAAAGGAATTAGAGTATACAAAGTCTCTTTGGTGCCTGTTAATATACATAACCAAAATACTTTTCTTACTAATCATTCATATTCATATTTTCATGTTTTCCCCTAGATTTACAAAGCAAGAAGAAATTAGGAAGCTATGGTAAGTAGTATGGTGATTATTGGATTTTCATCTTTCAGGGGTCCAGGTCTGGCTTCATTTAACCTGTAGTCGAAGCAGCTGGCAGACTTGCCGTTATGGTTTGATGATACTTATTGACTTTTGGCCAAACCAGAGATGCTAGAGAAGAACCTAGAAGAAACTGACATGGAGTAAGGGAAAAGCAGAGAGATGAGAAAGATTTGTGGGCAAATACTTTCACTAAAACTTTAAAAATGAAAAACCCAAACATCCAGCAATAAACTAAGTGGTTGACAATTCCTTCATTCAGCAAATTGAGTGCCTACAATGGTCCAAGTGCTGGAGATACAGATGTGAATAAAACTAGACATGGCCCCTGTCCTCCCAGCACTTGGTAGGTAGTTGGTTAAATAAATGACAGCACACTCACTCTGGAATATTACACTGCCATGATGAAGACAGTTTGCAAAGAATCATTAATAAAGCAGGTCTAATGTTATAATAGCAAGGTAAATACAGGATGAAGAATTGTATTCACAGTATTAACAAGATAATATAAATCACCCATAATCCACAACTCAAAAACAATTATCAACATTGTAGTCCATTACATTCAGCTTTTTCTTTTTCTATTCTTTTTTTTAAAATTTTTTTAATGTTTATTTATTTTTGAGAGAGAGACAGTGAGAGCCAGGGAGGGGCAGAGAGACAGAGACAGAGACAGAGACAGCGAGAGACAGACAGACAGAATCCGAAATAAGCTCCAGGCTCTGAGCTGTCAGCACACAGCCCGAAGCGGGCCCAAACCCAGGAACTGGGAGATCGTGACCTGAGCTGAAGTTGGACGCTTAATTGACTGAGCCATCCAGGTGCTCCTTTCTTTTTCTATTCTAAACACATCTACCATATACATAGAATAAACTATTGGAAAATGAAGAAGAGAGTGTTGGTAGTTATTATTTTGGGGTTGTGGGATTATGAGTGATTTTTGCTTCTTCTCTATGATTTTGTAGATTGTCCAAGGTTCCTATAATAAGCATGTATAAACAGGTAATAAGCCAATTAAAACACAGTCACAGACATGCATAGAGCTTCTCTCCCCCATTTGTTTTCTCTTTCCTCTTGCTTTGGTGTCTCCAGGGTAGGGCACGCAAGCCTCTAAGTGGGCAGCACAGGCATTGTGAGAAATGCTTCGACCGTCACTGCCACATTCCTGTGGAGCCTGATGTCTCCTGTCTGGTGATAAACTGCCACCTGTCCTGTGGTGCTACCTTCCACATGTGCAAAGAGGCAGAGCATGAGCTCCTCTGCCCTCTGGAGCAGGTTCCATGCCTCAACTCTGAATATGGCTGCCCCCTTTCCATGTCCCGCCACAAGCTGGCCAAGCACTTGCAAGTGTGCCCTGCCAGTGTGGTCTGCTGCTCCATGGAGTGGAATCGCTGGCCAAACGTGGACTCTGAAACTACCCTTCATGAGAACATCATGAAAGAGACCCCCAGTGAGGAGTGTTTGGACACAGCCCTGGCCCTCCAGGACCAGAAGGTCCTTTTCAGATCTTTAAAAATGGTAGAACTTTTCCCAGAAACTAGAGAGCCCACTCGGGAGGAAACTACCATGAATGGTGAAGCCACTTGGGAGGAAATGGGAGGAGCAGTGGGTGGAGTGGATGCCAGTTTGGTACCACATGGGTCTCTGTCAGCAGCTAATGGAGAAATGGTAGAGCTGAGTCAAGAAGAACGAGAGGCATTAGCCAAAACCAAAGAAGGGATGGACCTGGCCAAGTATGACAAGTGGGAAAATATATTCAGCAAAGAGCATGCAGCCTCTGCTTTAACAAGTACATCAGTGAACTGTGACAACAATAGCAGGAACAACCCTGGAAAAGAACAGGTTTCCAATGACAATAACATGGTAAGGGAGGATGATCTCCAAGAGAAAGAGAAAGAACCACAGGAAAAACAGAAGCAGCAGGACTTTAATGCAGTCGTGGAAAAGACAGGGCTTGCCCCTTGGCAGGATGGTGTTCTGGAAAGACTGAAAACAGCTGTGGATGCAAAGGACTATAATATGTATCTGGTGCACAATGGGAGGATGCTTATTCACTTTGGTCAGATGGCTGCTTGTACACCTAGGGAGAGAGACTTTGTTTATGGCAAACTTGAGGCTCAGGAAGTAAAGACTGTTTACACCTTCAAAGTTCCTGTGAGCTACTGTGGGAAGCGGGCTCGCATTGGAGATGCCATGTTGAGTTGTAAGCCAAGTGAACACAAGGCAGTAGATACTTCAGATTTAGGGATCACTGTGGAGGACCTGCCCAAATCAGATCTCATCAAAACCACCCTCCTGTGTGCTTTAGAAAGAGAACTTAAAGGTCATGTCATCTCCGAATCTAGGAGCATTGATGGGCTGTTTATGGATTTTGCTACACAGACATACAATTTTGAGCCAGAACAGTTTTCTTCTGGGACAGTGCTGGCTGACCTCCTAACCACTGACAACCCAGGGGGGCTCCATGTGGAACTCCACAGTGAGTGTGTGACCCGGAGACATAACAAAAGCAGCTCTGCCTTCACTTTCACTTGCAACAAATTCTTCAGGAGGGATGAATTTCCCTTACATTTCAAGAATGTCCACACAGACATTCAATCATGTCTCAATGGCTGGTTCCAGCATCGATGCCCTCTCGCCTACTTGGGATGTACTTTTATTCAAAACCATTTCCGTCCCCCAGGACAAAAGGCAAAAGTGATTTATAGTCAGGAGCTCAAGACCTTTGCCATCAAGCCAGAGGTTGCTTCAGAGCTGGGTGAGAGAAAGAAGAACAACCATCTCTCAGGCCGTGGAGCAAAAAGCCAGAATTCTCTAACCAGCCTACCCCTGGAGGTTTTGCAGTACATTGCTGGGTTCTTGGACAGCATCAGCCTGTCCCAGCTTTCCCAGGTATCTGTGCTGATGAGAAATATCTGTGCTACTTTGTTACAAGAGAGAGGGATGGTCCTCCTACAGTGGAAGAAGAAAAGGTATTCTCATGGAGGCACTTCCTGGAGAGTCCACAGAGAGGCAAGTAAACTCTTATTCATTCATTCATTCATTCATTCATTCAACAACTATTTAGGAAGAGCTTTCTACGTGCCAAGCACTGTACCAGGCACTGGCAATGTACTAGGTTACTGGGAATAAGACATAATTCCTAAATTCAAGGAGGCCAGTCCAGTAGGGAAGACAGACCTATAGACATATAAATGACAATACAAATGGTAGTGCCTGTTTATGTCTGTGTATGTGTCCTGGATATCTTCTGCTTGTTCACATGATTCATTCTCCAACCCTGTGATCAGTTCCCTGGGAGGCTGATCTCTACAGACTGCCTCAACCAGCAGACTTGCCCGCCAGCTTCCATTTGGGCTAATCAAATGGGAGTGTATCAGTAGGAAATGGGAGGGAGGTAGACTAAGTTGATGTATCTATTCTTCTGGCTTCCTCCCTGCATGCATTTTTCCCTTCCATGACACCTAGCACTGGCCATGTCCCTCCATTGAAGGTGACTGTTTCAGGTGGCTCTCTCCACAAAGTTACTCATTCTGGGATACAATGACCTCCTTTCTTCTTCCCTTTCATGCCTAGGGTATTAATGCTCTAGATTGTTACTTGCCTGGGTACTGCAACTGCACTATATCTTGTGGCTTTCCTACACCCTGCCCATACATTTGTATATCATTATTTTTTTAATTCTCTTCAAATTACCAAGTTAAGTGTGCCATCTGTTTCTTGCCTGGGCTCTGATACAGTATGCCAACAAATTCTCCTCAGTCCCATATCAACTCATTTTTTAAAAAAGACTTTTTGCCTTTGTTAAAGGAATTTTGAAATTCTAAAATAATTTGGTCCACTGATCTCTCCTGATTCAAATACCTATTTACTTTCTCAAAAAGCTGCTGTATAAATCAAAGAATCTTTCTCTTCAGAAAAATCTTACTTCTTTTTTCCAATCACATTACACTTGCTGAACTGCATCATAACTTCTATCAGTTTATACCATACAGAAGTGAAACTCTTTAGCATCCTTTCCCATGGTAAATATGTTGGTAATATGAACCACAAATTAATAATGCCCATTTAGCTCAATAATTCCATAATCTCACTGTTGAATTTTTTCCCAAAATGTGGGTGTACAAACCGGCACTGGGGAGTTAGAGTTGTTTACACCTATTTTCATTAATTACATCTAAAACATCTTACATGTTTTCTATTATTTATTCCCTGAACAGTCTTCTTTAAAAAATAATCATGAGACTCTCCTTCATGTATCCAGGCCTGCATCCACGTGTTTAATAAACACTGACTTCCACCCATCCACATGTTATGGACAAACATGAATGAGACTGAGAACCTGCCCTCAGAAACTGTATAGTCTAGAACTGTCTAATATCTTTCTCTAGAAAATCGGATGCAAACAATTTAATTTACGTAGTAGAAATTCCATTAATTTTTGGCTCATGTTTGTCCCCAGTTCAATGATTCCTGACCATTCCTGAAAATTATTTGGGACAAACAAATTTCCTTTTAGAAAGGAAGAAAGAGAATTTAGTTGGAGCTAAAGGATGCTCATATTAAAATGGCTTTTTTTAAGCAAAAAAGGGAAATAGTTCTAAAATCTCAGAAAATACCTTTTTTTACATAGGAACAAGGATAAGAAACTGAGGATGAAGTGTCAGGTTGAAAGGGTCTCAGGTTATGCCTATCCTTATAGCCAGATTTTAATTTTTGTAATGTTTACTCTTTTTTTGAGAGAGAGACAGAGACAGAGCATGGGCAGGGGAAGGGCAGAGAGAGGGAGACACAGAATCTGAAGCAGACTCCAGGCTCTGAGCTGTCAGCACAGGACAGAGTCCAACACAGGGCTCGAACCCACAAACCATGAGATCATGACCTGAGCCAAAGTCAGACGCTCAACCAACTGAGCCACCAGGTACCCCTATTAGATTTTAAAACTAGTAACTCTGCACCATATCCTAGGTGGAAAGGCCAAAAGGGGGTTTGTGTACCAGATATCTAGATTTCTCCTGAGGTTTCTGTGTTAGGATACTTTTAGTTTTAAGCAACACCAACTTAAAATGGCATAAACAATTAAGGGAATTTTGGCCCACAAAACTAAAAAAATCCACAGGTAATGGCTTCAGGTAAGATTTGATCTAGCAGTTCAAAAATGCCCCCAAATGACCTTTTTTTTCTATATCTTATTTCTACTTCCTCACTAGTGGCTCCTTTCTAAGACACAGTTATCCCTTGGTGGTCCCTTTTGGCTGCCAGCAGCTAAGACAGCAGTTTCCCAGTTCAAGTACAGAAGGAAAAAGAAAACCTGCTTCTTAATATCTCAAGCAAAAGTTCTAGGGTAGAGTCTCATTGACACTAATTGTCCTGATTTGAACCGTGTGTCTATTCTAGAACTAATCACTGTTGTTGGTGGGAGGGTGGTGGGTGGGTGTCAATCTGCAGATTGCTGTGGTCATTTCCATACATTTACATGGCTGGCTGGGAAGATTATCAATTGGAAGGGGGGATTAGGAATTGGATGCTGAAGAAGGAACTAACAAATGTCTGCAGCAGCCACTAAACATTCTCTGGAAGCTAAGAACATGAAGAACAGAAAGATATTTTCTTATACTCTTCAAATAAAGCTAGCCTGAGATTATTGCCCCAGCATTCACTTTTGAACTTCATGTTTCCTAACAGATCTGGCAATTCAGCAGCCTTTTCTCCAAAGTCAAGAGCTGGGAGTTTAATGAAGTTGCTTCCATGTCTGAACACCTGAAGGCCTGTCCTTTTAACATTGTAGAGCATAAGACTGACCCAGTTCTTCTGACCAGCATGTGTCAGCTCCAGGAGCAGCCCCGAGAAACCTTAGTCACCACCTTTAGAACCAGACCACGAGGAAGACACACTTGCTAAAGAGTCAGATGCCACCATTCTTGGATTTGCCCTCCGAGTTACTGAAAGTAGGACAGAGTGTGGTTTTGAGGACTTTCTTCTGTAAACTGCATATGTGCTTTTCTAGGTATATGGAACATGCACTGTCCTAAACCTGAGCAGTTGCACAGGATCTAAGAATTTTCTAAGCCATGGTTTGTACACTTGCCATTAAGTGCCATGCTGATTACTTATTTCCTTCTCCCCACCCCCCTTTTTTCCTAAAACAAATCAGTCTGAGGAGAAAAAATAGGTAACTTGAGGCCATTTAAAAAATGAGCCCAAGTCTTAGGAGATGAGAGAGCACTGAAATTCCATAACCAGTACAGACCTGTGTTTTTGTGGAGAATGTTTTAATTGATGAGCACTTTCAAATTTATGGGGCAAGCAACGCAGGATTGGGTCAGAGGTGTGTTCCACCTCTCGTGAAGGGCACGTGGTTTGATGGTTCTGGAGCTGGGGTTGTCTTGATGGTTAAGTCTAGGTCTTCTTTTAGTCGCTCCTGCAAACCCAGGAAGTCCAAGCATAGCTCAATGAAATGGAGACCTTGACCGAGTACAGCAGCCTTGAGGACAACACAGGCCAAAGAATGAGAGGCAGAAATGAGATCACAGAGTTTGTTGTGGAAAATCTTAGCAACATACAGAAGGACAGCCTTGCAAAATGAGGAAAAGTCCAAAAGGGCATTGTATTAATGGAGAAAATTAGCACCAAAAGCCACACGCCTACTTTTAAACATGTCAAAAACGACTTGAGTCCAGATTCTTTTCTTCTTAAAATTATATTCTAGGTCTGGGTTAGGGATAGCAGAGGCATAGCCCAGCACCATCCTGGGCTAGCTGAGATGACCTCAAGACATTAACACCAATTTCAGTGTCATGCCAGAATGCACAGGGTAGTCCAGAGAGACCACACATTGGCAGAATCCAGACAAGGCCCACTGCAGTTCCTGTGGCCCACCAGGTCTTAGATACCACTTGAGTACCCTGTGAGGGATCATAGGAAGGAACACACCTGAACATAGTAGTTCCCATAGAACACATAGGAACATAATTGCTCCTCCCTATTGTGGTTCATGACTCCAGTCTGTCAGAAATTGGTGATACTATTGGGCTTTGGTAACAAATAGTGAATACTCATGAAAATGGGAGTAAAATAAAAATACACAATAGACACTGCCATCCCCTAAAGCAGGGTTTCTCAGAACTATTGACATTTTGAACTGAACAATTCTTTGTTGTAAGGGACTATCCTGTGTGTTATCAGATATTTAGCAGCAGCCTTGGCCCCTATGCAGTAGATACCAGTAGCCCTCCACCCCCACAGCTGTAACAACCAAAAATGTCTCCAGACATTGCTAAATACCCTCTGGGAGTAAAATCTCTCTGGGTTGAGAACCGCCATAAGCAATATCATACCAGCGGCAGTAACTTAGGATAAGTTTTTTAGTACAGCAAAATCTTACATAAATATCTACAATGGTTATGATTTTATGTAGCTCTTCTTTATTTACTAGATAAGTCTTAGATGTGATTTTAAGTTGGGAACCAGATGGAGCTGATTGTTCAGTGTGGCTTTATGTCCTTAGGTCATGTGCAAAGAAATATATCCTTTCAGTTCAGCTCTCGCCAGATGTAGCAGAAGCCAGCATGTTGAGCTACTTATCTTGTGTTTCTTTCCCTCTTACCTTAATTGGTGCCATTTTCCCAGCAGTCTTCAAACAAGTGAGAAAAAGGAAAAGGAGGACATGTATCATGGGGAAGCAGAGAACAAAGAATTTAGCCAACAAAAAGAGTTTAGTCGATCTGAATACTTGTTATTGCATGGGTCTCTCTCTGAACATGGTTCAGAGCTGGTACAGATGAAGTAGAGGACACCGGTGAGAAGAGTCAGAAGGCGTTAAAGCAAGTCCCAGAGTAGAAGCATGCTTATCTTTTCATTATAATGTGCCACTTGGTACTATTTGGTAATGTAATTCTATTTTTCATAATCCTTTTTGCTTGGTTTATATTTCACATTTGTATATAAGGCACCATTTTCTAAAAATACAGCTAGAGTGTGAGCTATGATTTTATTCAGTGAAGATGAGTAACTGGAAACAGCTGAGCACCAAAGTGGAAAAAAAGGAAGAGTTCCCCAGGTCTCAGCTCCATGTGTTTTGAATCCAGTCCCCTCCTATCTAGAGAAAGAAAGCTCCTAAAGTCCATTCTGGGTGTCTTCTTTTACTAGAAAAAGAGATAAAGTGTAGCTATTCACCAAGGGAGAGAAAAATCAGGGGCTGCTGTTAGATGAAAAATGGAGAGAAAGGAGGAGAGCAGAGGGATTTTCCTTCACACCTGGGCACCTCAGGGTCCAGGAGAGCAGCCAGGAGGCTGCCCATACGGCTTTGTGGGCTGCACACTTACAGTTACTCTTTATTTTCCCAGTTACTGCCTTCAGAGCAAAATTAAATTGATTAGCATCATCAAACACATTTTATAAGATATCTAGTTGTATATGTTGCAGGAATCCAGGGTACTACAGGTATCCACCAGTCTACACAAACAAGCACATTTTATGGTGAGATGTCAGCTGAAGCAAAAAGGAAGCCTTTCAGAGAGGCTGTGGATTGGACTGAAAAATGACTAGATTCATGAGATGAGGGTATGTTGAGTAGCATGAGCAGCAGAATTATCTGACAGAGGCAAGACAGATGGACGTTGCTTCAGATGAAGAAGCAGCAGAGGGGAGTGAAAAGGAATAGGAGTAGGAGTCTGGACAGGGAGGTATCTATGAACAGATACCTTGATGAGTTAATCTATCTGAAGTAGAGACCAGCCAAACATGGAGGGTGAAGTCTGCAGAACTGAAGCAGAAAGGAAGTTTCTGTCTTATAATGAAGGGAAAAGTGAAAAGCAAGGGTGGAACTTGAAGATGGAACAGGAAAACCACTGTGAAAGTCTGATCTATCTGTGATATTGAGTCAAACTGAAGTGAAGAATGAGATTGTGTACATCTGTGGTGACTTACCTCTGTGTGCTGGAAATCCCACTGTCTCTAGAAGTGGCAATAAAAGCTGTTTTGCACTCTGGAAAGCTAACTGAGTGATTCTTGTAAGTGAGGTCTAGAGACAGATCTGTGATTCACTGGTACAGAGGTCATTGTGGAAACAAAGGAGTGTGTGTCTTGAAGGAGAACCAAGGAACAAGCCTGAAGGATGCAGTGCTCTCGACACATGAGGAGCTCGCCAATTTTATGGAGTCCTAGAACAATTATGGATCTTAGTCATTAATCCTAGCTCCTGCTTGGGCCCACTGCTTTCTTCATCTTTGCCCCCAAATCCCTTTTATTTTGATTTTATCTAGGATCTCCTATTAGACCTTGCTGAGCCCAATGTCTCAGAAAAAAATGGCTGGAAAAACAAACAAAAAAACAAAACAAACAAACAACAAACAAAAACCCACCATACCCAGGTCTCTCATTCTTTCTCATCCCCATAATTTGCTTGGTGATTTGCTTTTTGCCCACCATTAGCTGTTTAAATGTACTCATCTCTTTTCCTATCAGCCTTGGCTCTGGACCACACAGAACAGTCATGAGTTTCCCCTATCTACCCTCTTACATGGCCATCGATTTCAGTCACCCAACTACAAGGAAGCCTGGACTTTCCCTAGTAGAGACCACTCACTGTCTCTGACCCTAAATCCTCTTAATACCTCACTGGAGCCTGTGTTCCTTTAGCTTTAGTCTTTTTTTTTTTGCTGACCAAATCTCTCTTTTCCTCCTTTCTATTCCCCAATTTGTGTTTCTTCCTCAAGAATCATCATGTCCTGTGCTTGCTTCAGCAGCACATATACTAAAGAGTCACCATGTCCTGGGGTGCCTGGGTTCTCAGTCAGTTAAGTGTCCAACTCTCGGTTTTGGCTCATGGTGCATGAGTTCAAGTCCTGCATTGGGCTCTGTGCTGATAGTGCAGAGCCTGCTTGGGATTTTCTCTCTCTCCTTCTCTCTCTCTGCCCCTCCCATGCTCTCTCTTTCTCCCTCAAAATAAGTAAACTTAAAAAAAAAGAAAGTATCATCATGTCCTTAAAGAACGCAGTCATTACTCCCAGGAAGAAGGTGGTTGGCCTCTCATAACTGCTAAAGCCAGTGCAAGTTGAACTGCCTTAATGTGGATACTTCCTGGTCCTCTGGCCCCTCACCTTACTGCCATTTTCCAGGCCAGACTGTTTGGTGTTGGGTTTAAGTACAATCTAAGAAGAAGATTTAACCTTGATATACAGGGTGCAGGGCAGTGGGCAATGGCAGGAGGGGGTCTTCTGGATACACCTGAGAGAGGGAAGGAGAATTGGAGCCATGAGAGTAGGGCAACTGAGGCCTGCATAAAAAGTACTATTTACCTCAGCATACAAATGAACCACAGTCCCACTTTATTTCTGATTTAAGATTGAGCAGACAGAAGGTTAAAAAAAATCTCTGCAGAAAAGGAAAGTGGGCAAACAGTATAGCCAGGCAAATCAGACAATCTAGACATACCTTTCCATGTAAGCAAACCAGGAAGCTCAGAGCTCACAAACAGAGGAAGGCAGAACTTGGGGTATTTGAGGGAGTATTCATGAGGAAGGAGACAGGACCACAAGATGAATGTATGTCTGTGAGCACATCTAGGGTAGAAAGGACACTGAGGGGAAGAAGACCCCTTCCTCATGCTGTCTCTGTCCCAACCCCTAGTGGAGAGGGAGAGGAAAGTCTCTCTAGAATCTCAGGCAACTCATGACACTTGCAGTAAGAATAGGGTGGGGGTGAAGGCAGAAACACTTTGGACTTGGGAAGTCATGGTAGAGGAGACAGGGAGAGCCAGTTACTGGAGGAGCTTGACATAATTTGCAGGAAAGAGTCCAAAGTGGCCATGGCAACGTCCCCGCCACCAGCCCTCATCCACCATCTCAATGTCAGTGATGATGTCATCAGGATCAAAGGAAATCTCGTCACTTCCTTCTGGG